CCCTCCCCCCCCCCCCAACACACACACACACACCACTTATCTACTTATTCAAAACGCTATTCTCAAATACAACAGAGGAGAAATTAGAATCAGTCAACTGTATGATGAAAGAATTGGCGGACCTCGATTGCGGAGATGAAAAATACACTTACTAACCAATATGAAATGAATCATAAGGTGACTGCCAGAGACACCCTTAGAAAGCCTTCGCCTTGATCAGGTTGAGCTCCGTCCTTCGCACACCTGCCCCACCCCCACCCCTCCCCAACCCCATGCACTTATCTGCTTATTGAAGACGCTATTCTAAAATACAACAGAGGAATTAGACTAATCAGCCAACTGTATGATGAAAGAATTGGCTGATTGCGGAGATGAAAATTACACTTACTATCCAGTATGTCACCAACATCCCAATTCCTCAGTAAACAGTTTTCACATTGCATATCTTATCTTTTCAGAGAAACACGTGGTAACCGCTCCAAACACGCACAAGATCGTCAGCTACCGGCTGCCAGCTCCTACCATTCTTAAAACGAGCACTTGCTCAGCTGAGAAAATATTCCACAATGTCACTTTGATCGGCGGTATGAAAGCGGCGAACATTACGTCTCTAGGAAAAGCGAGCACCATGCAGGAATGCATAGGCATGTCTTGTGATTATGGGCAAGGGGACTTGGTTTTGATGTTGGGAAAAGATTGCTATACGGTGAAGTGTGTTAACGAGAGGGTTTGTCAGACGGTACCAGCGCAACCTTCAAAGTTTTATTCCCGCGTTGCGTATCTGAAGTGGGGATCTACTATCAATGAAACAGGTGTGGTTCTACACGTCTTTCTCCAGTTATTTCTTATGCTATTTCAAATATGAATCGAATTTCGTAATCATGAAGTGGTATTCTACAATCTACCATAAGGTGCCTTAGTTTGTGTCTGAATTACCAGTATAGGAAGAGTAAAATTACTACTTAGAACTTCGACGTTACGTTTCGAGCGTAGGAAGTCAGAATTAAGTCAACCAGCTTGGTAAAACCAGTGAGCTCTGTGTAAATCTTGAGCGAAAACTCAAAGTCTAAAAAGTGAAGCCAAATATCGAGCTATTGGACGTCAATTGATGATTCCCCTTATTACGTTTTCGTAACGCTTTGCATTGTGGTTATAGTGGTATCACTGATAAAGATAGCGGCCTCGAAAGAAAATACTGAATGTTTTCGCAAATATTTTGCTGCTGGCTATCGCGCACCTGACCCTAGCGTTTTTTAAAAGTTCTTGCACGGGTCAGGACAAAAAATAAGCCATCGTATCTTAATTAAATATGAGTGATACCACTATAACTGCAATGCAAAGCGCTACGAAAACGTAATAAGGGGAATCTAGTAATTCTGTCTCTCTCTATATTGTTTTTGTCTGCGTGATCTGCCAGGAGTGTGATGAAATTTCGTATTTTAACTTCGATTTAACCATAGTCTGTTATCGAAGGGAAGATGGCTGTGAAACTCATTAGAATGGCAATATAACTCATTGTCTATGTTAATCAACGTTTATTCATAAATACGGCCTTCACAGTCATGCGTGTATTGTATTTGTGGTATTTTGTGCTAAATTCACCAAAGCAATTTCCTATTTACCCTATAGTTCAAGCCACGGATAGGTAGCTTTCTTAATGCTATTGATTAGTTCGGTAATGTTGACAGGGTGGGTTGGGATTAGCTCCCAAACGTGCTCTTCCACCGTGACTGTGCTCCGTGATTAGAAATGAATCATAAGGTGGCTGCCAGAGAAACGCCCTTGGAAAGCATTCGCCTTGATCAGGTTGAGCTTCATCCTTCGCACACCTGCCCCTTCCCCCGGCCTCCCCCACCCCATGCACTTACCTACTTATTGAAAACGCTCTTCTAAAATACAACAGAGGAATAGACCTTTTACCCTTTTAAGTGAAATTTTGATCTAGACTAGCCTGGACAAAGTTTCGTTGCAAAATGTTATATGCGGATAATATAGCCTTGCGAAGTTTGCCGTTTTTCAGTCATTTTGCATTACAAACGGGAAATTGATAATCAGTTTAATCATCTGATTATCAATTTCCCATTTGTAATCAAAATGACTGAAAAACAGCAAACTTCGCAAGGCTATATTATCCGCATTTCACAACATTTCGCAACGAAACTTTGGAATGTTACTAATTTTGTGACGCTCTTTCAAGCTGTAATGAAATTTTTGTCCAGACTTGTCTAGATCAAAATCTCACTTAAAAGGGGAAAGGTCTATTAGAATCAGGCAACTATATGATGAAAGACTGAATTGGCGGATTGCGGAGATGAACTAGATGCATTTTCTAACCAACATGTCACCAACATCCCAATTCCTCAATAAACAATTTTCACATGTGTTTTGATTTTTTCAGAGAAACACGTGGTAACCGCTCCAAACACGCACAAGATCGTCAGCTACCGACTGCCGGCACCTACCATTCTTAAAACGAGCACTTGCTCAGCTGAGAAAATATTCCACAATGTCACTTTGATCGGCGGGATGAAAGCGGCGAACATTACGTCTCTAGGAAAAGCGAGCAACATGCAGGAATGCATAGGCATGTCTTGTGATTATGGGCAGGGAGACTTGGTTTTGATGTTGGAAAAAGATTGTTACACGGTGAAGTGTGTCAACGAGAGGGTTTGTCAGACGGCTCCAGCTCAACCTTCAAAGTTTTTTTCACGCGTTGCATATCTGAAGTGGGGATCTACTATCAATGAAACAGGTATGGTTCTACACACCAGTTATTTCTTATGGTATTTAAGGTATTTCAAATATGAATATATCGAACTTCGTGATCATGAAGTGGTATTCTACAATCTACCATGAGAAGCCTTAGTTCGTGTCTGAATTACCAGTAGGAAGAGTAAAATTACTACTTAGAACTTCGACGTTTCGAGCGAAGAAGGTCAGAAGTCAACCAACTTGGTAAAACCAGTGAGCTCTGTGTAAATCTAGGGCGAGAACTCAAAGTCTAAAAAGTGAAGCCAAAGCTAGATCGAGCTATTGGACGTCAATTTCGAATTCTGTCTCTTTCAATCTATTTCAATTCGTTGAAATTTCGTATTTTCACTTCGATTCAAACATAGCCTATATCGAAGGGGAGATGGCTGTGAAACTCATTAATATAATATAACACAATATAACACGTTACCCAGCAGGCAAAATGACGTTTATTCAACGTTGAATCAACGTTGGAAATGATCACCCAGACGTTGTATAGACGTTGAAAAAGGATTGAAAAATGCAAGAGTCATACGCCACCAAATGGATTTATGAAGATGTTCGGGAAAAAATTAGTGAATTCCAGTTTGGCGGCCTTCCTGGTACATCTGCAGTTCAAGCCTTGATCTACTTACTGCATAAATGGCACTCGGCAATGCACACTCCAGGAAAGGTTATTAGAATTGTTTTTCTTGATTTTCGGAAAGCGTTTGATCTTGTAGATCACAACAAGCTTCTTGAGACCTTCACTGGAATCGGTGTACGGCCCGCATTAGTGGGTTGGTTTGCGTCCTATCTACATGGCAGATCGCAATTTACATCATTTCAAGGTGAGCAATCAGACCTGCGAAAGATCAGGGGTGGAGTCCCACAGGGTAGCAAGCTGGGTCCATTAGCATTTATCCTGAAAATTAACCATCTCCCACAAGTCGCTATACCTAATGAGCAGGAACAGATATGTGAAGCATCTGATAATCAAGATATAGCTATGTTCGTTGATGATAGTACATTGTCCGAAGTCATTACCATAACTCAACATTCATCTGGAAGCCCAATTGGCAACACCCAACGAAGTGTAAATAACGTAGTGCAATTTGCAAAGGATGAGAGTATGGATCCCGTGTAAAGTCGTATAAATTGTTAGGAATATGGATAGACGATGACATGAGATGGAAAACCAACACTGAGTACATTGTAAAAAAAGGCGCTAAGCGACTTTACCTCTTGAAGATTTTAAAGAGTTTTGGTGCACCAAAAAATGACCTATTAGCTTTCTATTGTACAGTAATTCGTTCTGTTCTAGAGCATGGTGCACAAATCTGGAGTGGGGGTCTGACACAAATGCATAAGAAAAACATAGAAAGAATCCAAAAACAAGCCCTCCGAATAATTTATCCTGGCCTTTGTGATTATGGACTTCTATTATCTCAGAGCAATCTGCTGACCTTAGAAGAACGCAGAAACAATTTATGTGCCTCCTTAATTGAGGACATGTTACAACCATCACACAGATTTCACGGACTATTGCCAAAGAAACTGAGTGACATTAGGGAAAGAGAGACTAGGACAAATGGCGAAAAGATTTATAACTTTTTTTGCAACACTGAACGTTTTAGAAACAGCCCTGTAGTTCATGCTATTAATGAATATAATGTTAAATTAGATAAGTAAGATTTATATACATATTTATACAATTCCATATATATATATATATATATATATATATATATATATATATATATATATATATATATATATATATATATATATATATATATATATATATATATATATATATATAAACGATTTTAATATACATATAGGTCCATTGATGTAAATAGTTCTAAATAAGTAATAATTCTAATTAATTCTAATTAATATCTGATGATGTAAACACGTTGTAATTTAGCTTTTTGCTATTGAACGTGTATTAATAAACCCACTATTATTATTATTATTATTATTATT